AAAAAAAAAATCCCCAGCCTCCAGGCTTTGAATTATGGTCTTCTTACAGGCAGAGGCAGCTCCTAAGCGCTTTAAGAAGGAAGTTGACAAGGGTGTGGCAGTGTTTGAAGGATGGGAGTGGGGGGCAACAGAATAGACTGTCACCACAATGGACAAGTTCCCCAGGACAAGTCTCCTGTCTGGCAAGTTATTTCTCACTTGATACCAGACATTCTGCTGGGCCTGCCTTGACAATCAGGAGTAGGACCCAGCCCTTTCCTTTGATGGACTTGCCGTTGGGGAGGAGACAAACATGCCAGCTAGGCTCTCAGGGTGGGAGAGGAAGGGCTGACCTGTGGTGTGTGTGAATTTCTGTGGTGTAGATACTGCCGGGGGCTGACTTCGAGCTATTTAGCAAGACATCCCTGAACATGGACTTGGGAAGAGACCCACCAACCAGCGCTCCGCAGCTGGTGGAGTGGGCTCCAGCTGCCCGCTGCTGAGGACAGAGGCCTGTAGCCAGAGTGTGGAAACCCAGCAGGAAGCTAATAGCCAGGCCTGGGAGAGAGGGGAAAGGCTTGCAGAGAGGCGACCACTGGCCTGAGTCTAAAGGCTGTGTGGGCATTTGTCAGGGGTTCAGGGGAGAAGGGCAGCCGGGGTTGAAAGACTGGTGGAAAGACAGCGATGAGCCCAGCTCTGGGGGCCTGACCACGCCCCTGTATGTGGAGGGAGGCCGGTGGGAGGGTGTTGGATGAGGGCTGCTGACAGGGGGCAGAGGGAGGCCGGGCTGGAGAGGAAGGCGGAGGCCAGAAAGGACCTGAGGCTTCATGCGCCCATCCCAGAAGTTCAGTGCTTTCTCGCTACATGGGAAGCCATCAGGGTCCCCAGAATGCAATGTAAGATCCTTTGGATGCTTTGGTGTTTTCTGTGGGTAAGGTGGAGGTCGGACTGAAGATGAGCTAATGAAGGCAGCGAGGGCGAGAAGGGGGAGGAGCTTAGCTTGGGACCGCCTTCTCCAGGCCCTGCTTCCCCCTGGCTCACCAGGAGGGGGAGCTCCGGGGTGGAAGATGCGAGCTCTGCAGGAAGGACAGTGCTTTTGAATTCTGCCTCTACCACTTGCCACCAGCTAAGTCACTAAGTTCTGTGCCTCCAGCAGTGCTGTTGTGAGGGTCCGATGAAAGTATCCTCACAAAGTGCCCAGAGCAGCCTCTTGCCCATAATAAGCCCTGATTACCACCACCCGCTCCCATACTTTCCTGGACCCCCACTTCCTGGCCCAGAGACTGTTCCGTTGCTCTCTGTTGTCTGCTAACACTGAATTGCCATGGCTCGGTTCCACATCTGTCCCTACCCTTCTACCTAATCTGTGAGCTCCTCAGGAGCAGGCAGACCTTCTCTGTAGGTCCTAGCGGGTCTGGCACAAAGCATATGCTCAATGTCACTTGCTGAGTGACCAGGCAACTGGGTGGAACACGGGGTGTGGGGCTCAGAAAGCTGGGCCAAGGCTAGCAGCTCAGATAGAAAGGGGAGGGGAGGGAGGGGTCTTTTAGGAATTCCGCTCTGGCTTTCCACTAAGTTGTGGAGCCCAGCTCTGGGGGCCTGACCACACCCCTGTATGTGGAGGGAGGCCGGTGAGGACCTCTGCTCCTCTATTTAAGAAAATGGAGGACAGAAGTTGGTAACAGGGATGGAGAAGTCAAAGACCAACAGAATCCCAGCCCCTGCCTATGTCCTCGCTGAGGCTTTGGAACTTTTTGTGTCAGAAGCTCATGGCTTTATTTATCCTTTGGGCTGGAACTCTGCAGAAAGCGCTGAGCAGCCTTACCTCATAGAACACAGACCTTGAAAGAAGCACCAGGCCCAAGTTGTAGGCAGTAAAGCGTTCTGTCAGCTCCAGAGAGTCCCATCAGGATGTGGAGCAGGAGCCCACCATCACCTGAAGGAAGCAGAGAACAACAAAGAGGGTGACAGGGAGCGGCCAGGGCACCAGGAACCAGGAATTTGTTTGTGAAGTCTAGAGAAGCAAAGGGGAGAGGTCACAGACAGACTGGCCACCCACCTGCCCCGAGCCCTCCCATCAGCCAGCTCCAAGGCCCATTCGTCCCCACCTCTTGTTTCCCAAGCATCTGACATTAAGGCTGTGGCAGGTGAAAAAAATGAAACCTTTTCATTACATGATACCATCTCCTACCTCCACGACCTAAAGCCCGGGTATTTTTATTCCAGAGCTTTCCAGGGTACTGTCATCGTGAGCACCTGTAAGTAGAAGCAAAATCTGGGTCTTGTCCCAAACCACCACCCCCTCTACTTACTATCACCCACTGAGGGCCTGTGGAACCTGGTTCCTCAGTCTCCCCGGCCTGACCACCAGCCTCAGGGCCCCCCCTCCATTCTTGCCTTCAAATGTTGACTATGACCACCCACCATCCACCACTGGGGAGACCCCATGGGCCACACTGGTATCACACCTCACACCCTTCCCTCCTTGACTTGGAATTTCCGGCCCCTGGCTGTGGCCTCTGAATTGCAGGGCCCAAGGGACAGAGATGAAGATACTGTGCAGCAAGCCACAGACAGAGGGCACGAAGTTTCCCTTTTCCTCTTCTCTCTTGCTCTGTGGGTCCAGATCTTTCTAAGCATCCCTGGCTCCTCCCACCTCTCACTGAGCCCAGCCACACCCAGCCCTTGAGAGCCTAACTTACTCCTGCGGCTCCTCCCGGGCTCCTCGGGGTCTCCTCTGGTCAGTGACTGAAGCTGCTCTGGCCTCTCGGGTCTTGCCGGCTGTTGCCGTCTGAGTGAAGAGTCCTCTGGGCTCCAGGGTACAGAGCTGACCTAAGGGCAGCCTCACCTGCCAGAAGCTCTCTACTCCTGTGCTCTGACCTGCTGTCAGCCCCAGCCCCTACACACACACACACACACACACACACACACGCATGCACAACCACACACATCCATGTCCATTCCCTGGCTGGGCACTCTGCCGTTCTCACAGCCCAAGGGAGAAGGAGAATAAAAGGCACTCAGGAGTGGGAGGTAGCCACTCATAGGGCAAGGGATGATGGTGGCAGCTCTCAAGAGGGGACAGGAGGAACTCAGGTGGTCAGTACTATGGGGAGGTGACCTAAGGACACATGGCCTCACACTCCTCCCTCTTACCAAAGACACTTCTATCCGAGGAGCACTATGCACTGGGACGTCACCTGCATCATGAGCCTCCCCAGGTTCGGCCACCCCCTATCACCTTAAGTTGAAGTCTTCCTCCTTTTTCTGCCACTCTTTTCCATATGGTGAAGTGTTATGCACCTTTCTGAGCCTTCTGAGTCCTCTACAAGCCCCCTCCCCCCCCGCACTCTCCACTCGTTGATGGTCTAAAGGAGTACTGGGGTGACCGGAAACCCCAGGAGCAACCCTCTCCCTCCCAGCCCCCTCCACCAAACTGCACCACTGAGAAATGATTAAAATGGTTATTTTTCCAAATAGCCTCTCCTAGGTAACACCCTTCCCTGGCTTTATAAGAGATGAGGGAAAGAAACCATTTTAGAAGCCAGTCTGCTGAATAAAGGAGTCCCAGCAGCCCCTACCTGAAATTGGACTCCACAATAATTCAAGGGCAGCTCCTAGAACCAGCTTCTTCAGAATACAGTGCCTTGTTTTCACCTTCTTTTAAAAATTTTTTTTTCAGTTGTAGATGGACACGATACCTTTGTTTCGTTTATTTTTAGTAGAGGGACACAATACCTTTATTTTAGTTATTTATTTTTTATGTGGTGCTGAGGATGGACCCCAGAGCCTCACACACGTTAGGCAAGTGCTGTACCACTGAGCTACAACCCCAGCCCCTTGGTTTCCCCTTCTGACATGATGGCACCCTGTGGTCCTGCTAAGACTTATATAAAGTCATTTGTATGTAAGCCCCAGATCATAAGCTCAGAGCCAGAAGGATTAAGAGACTGGAAAACTCAGCAGAGATAATGGTTGTGTGCAAGCACACCTGGTCACACCTGCGAGCTATATGTGTGTGCCTTTACACGTGCTGCGACAGACCTCACTCCAACTGCCCTTGACAGTGTCAGGGAAGATTCCCAGCCAGGATCAGGCAGAAGACAGGGCCTTCCTTGTGAACCCCTCTCCCAATATGTCTGTCCTGTTTCCTAGAGAATCCAGCCAAGTCTATTCCAATGCGGCTTCAGGGTTACCCATGCTCCAGGCAGACCCTCCTCATCCAAGATCCACACGCCATTTACCACTCCCATCAGCCTGGTCTCCTCTCTCCCGGCCCGGCACACCCTCATATACCCATTCCTGCATTCCTGAGATTCCCAGCTTCTTCCTTCACTTCCTGCTCAAACGGAAGTCCCACTTCTGACACCAAGTCTCCCTCTCCTTTCCTCTTCGCCCTCCGTGGTGTGCACCGTCTGTTATCACCGACTTCAGCCTGAGAGTTTGGTCTTGCAAAGCAAATTGCAAGTCCTTGCAGGAAATGATAGCTTGCCACCTGGACAGACAGGTGGAACCACAGGAACCTTCTAGAATGACTAGAGGGATGGGTTGGGGAGGTGTGAACTGTCCAGCTCCAGGTTCTGGCTGTGGCCCCTGCCAGCTCTCAGGGGCCACTAACAACAACCTTGGCATGCATGTGGCCCCTTAGGATTCTTATGGGAGACCCTGGGAAGGCCCTGCAATGCCACCTTGTCCCTAGGAAGCAGGTCAGAGAACAGGACCGGGAACTTTAGGTGAAACCCACAGCAGTCCAGGGTTCTCTGCTCCAGCCCAGCCTGGGAAACTGTTAGGAAGAAAGCATTCGCTGACCACCCGTCTCCCCCAGCAGACGCCCTCTGGACTTACAGATCATATCGACTAGGAAGGAGTTTGCTATAAACATCCCACAACCATAAAATAAGATTGGACCTGGATGCCTCCACAGAGTCCGTCTTCCCCAGCAAAATAGCAAAAGGCACAGAAGCCGCCCCCCCCCACCCCTGTCCTTGCCCAAACAACCACCTTCACAGAACTCGCTGCAGCACAAATCCTTGCCCATCTACTGAGTGAACAAGCCCCCTCTAGGGTCCTGAAGTGAAATAGGATACCTACCGGAGGGCCAGGAATTATATGTGCAAAAACTGGTGCTGCAAGGAATCACACACTTCCACACCCATAACAACAGCCAGTGTTGATTACATCATCACCCTGTGTCATACATGATTCTAAACCCACATACACACTCGTGTATTTTATGCTCACAACAACCCTGCAAGGTAGGCACTATTGACACTCCCTTCTACTGATGAAGAAACTGAGGCACAGAAAGAAAGGGTAAGTAACTTGTTCAGTATCACGCAGCTAATAAGTAAGGGCCAGGGTTCAAACTGAGGCAGATATGCTTAACAAGGATAGTACCCGCTGAACTATCTCTTGGATCTCTTGACATCATAATTTGTTTTATTTGGATTTAAAGAATCAAAGGGCAGTTTGATGCACATGAAAAGGAAGTCCTAATTTACCAGATTCAAAGTAAAAATATTCTTGCTGGTTCTTACTACAATGTTATAAAGTAGCAATAAAAATCCTTCCTTCCTTCTGCCCACCCCCCCAGCTCCACCCTCTCTCCCTCTTTCTTTCCTGACGTCCATCCATTCACCTAGAACAGAGAAGGGGTTTTCAGACCCTTGGGATCCAGCAGTTCCTATGTAGGGAATGAGAGGTCTAGAAAATTGGCCAGTACCCAGCCCCATAGGAACTAAACAAGGTCCCTACCCTCCATTGGATTTTAGAAGAGCATCGCTACTTTGTAAACAATGTTGAAAACAGCCACTCCTGATAATGAAAATGAGCTGGGCGGAATCTGGCTCACATTGGTAAGTGCCAACAAGGAGGAAAGTAGTCCTCACCAGGCCCTGCTCTTTCTCCACCCAGGGGTGCCATCAGGGCACCCTCTGCCCCCACAGATCCTCTTGATCAGAACCCAGGGAAGTGTCTATCAAA